ATTAATTTGTAATAAGAACATTTCACCTGTTTTCCGCTAGTGCTTTCTTCGTTTCTTCTGCAAAACAATCAAAAGTGTTGTTAAGGGTGAGCCTTGTTAGGTGCGGGGTAAAGTCGGTGATGGGTAATTTTGGAATTATATTCTTCATCTTTTCCCCTCTTCCTTTTTTATCTGCTGCTAATTTTTCTCCTTGGATCGTAGAGAGATAATTATAAGTTAAATTAATAAAACAGTGGTAATAGACATTGCCTTAATTTAATAATACCTATTAGGTATTATGGAGTGAATTTAAGTGATACCACTCTAGTGTTAAAAGTCGCACCAAAGTAGTACTGAACATTCAAATTGTATTGACTTAAAATTGACAGATCAAAATTAAAAGTTAAGAGTTAGCACAGTACAAAGTCTGCCATGCAAAGATTTACCAATTAGATTTCAATGGCAGATATCAGCATTCAGGGTGTTGTKCAGTTTTAGTGTCTTAGCCTTGTGTATTGATATGATAAGCCTAAATRATATACGTTTTTAAAAACAGYTTYACTTACCAAGTTCTTTCCTAAGCTTTTTGATGTACACTAGAAGTAGAACAATAAAAAGCAAGAAAACTGCGTTGAATGCAAGACTAACGGCAACTGAATCTGACAAATCTGGAAAAAAAAAAATGGTTGAATATAATCTTTTAATACAGCCAATACTCTCGGCAAAGTGTTTCTCATTTATTACTGACGTGCCTGAACATGTCTTGTCTGTAGCCGGCGTATGCTGTYCTGAAAACGAGTCTATATAGTACAGAGAATTGAATATTTAATAAAACATCAGCGGAAATKTATAAAACCAAAAAGGCTTGTAGTAGTGATGAARACAAAAATGAGCAGCACAAGCAAATTACTTTGGCCAAGAAGAAATTACAACCTGAAAATGACAGCAATGACGTCTATCTTCCACTGATCAAGTATTTCATTAAGAAAAAGCAGCACTTTTTAATGTTATTCTGCGTTATTTATTATTTTGCATCATATAGAAATTTACGACTAACATGAAAATACAAAACTAGAAATCCCACTTTTTCTTATAGGAATGTGTGGCATTTTAGTTTCCAAGTTAGACTCATATCCACTGGATATCAAACAAATAGTTTTGTCACTCAGGAAAAATTCAAATTAGAAAGCCTTAATTAAAAATGAATGCAAAAGAAATTGCAAAGATAATTAAAATTCAGTCAATCAATTCAAACCTTTCTTATTGGGGATCTTCCCTTTTGCTATCAAAGTGCTTCGACCCGCCAAGTACTCCTAAAATTTTAGCAAATAAAGATAGAAACAAATGACAGTACAGTCAATATACGAGAAGCTATACATTGCAAGTGCCTTTACAAAATATGAAATCGTGACTTTTATAAATTAGAATTTTCAAAATTTGTCATAAAATGCAATAGTACTCTAAAGCTCAAAAACTCTTTACGTTGTCATCTTGGCAAGTTCACTTGGATTATAAATGTTGGCGCACGTGCGATATTTTGAAAATTAAGTATAATAATATGCGTTACCTATTTTTCGTTTTGTGTCAGAGCTCTTTGCAGCACATGATATTTCATTCCATCCTTTATTTTGACATTTTGGTATGCATTATACTCTTTATCATCTCCAAGATTGAAAATTCGTGGGAATTTATTGCCATGATTTGTTCTTATTTCTGCTGCTATGTAGTAGTGTAGCTCTTCCTTTTCTGCTTCTTCATAGCTTTTTAGTTTCGTTTCATCGATAGAAGTGGTTTTATCCACTTGTACAACAATGATTTGGTAAGCCTTGATTTGTCCATTGATATCAGAACTTTCCCAAACTGTGATGTTGTTCACTTCCGCAGTAATGTTACCAACAAATCCAACAACAGGAGCAGGTGGAGCTGTAATAAATGAATATACCCTTTAAATTTAATTAAGTTCGCTTTGTCTTTGTTCGTAATTATTATTGACTGATGTTTCAACACTTAAAGACTTATTCTTTCCCTTGCTACACCCTTGTCTCATTTGCTTGTTATTCGTCATTATTTATGTATTAATTCTTTAAGTTTTTGTTGTGTGTTTGTTAATCGTCGTCGAGTTCTATTTTCGAGTAATATCCGAAAAAATGTTTTTTTCTTTGTCCCAAAATGAATTTTCCCTTTCTGACACTTGTCCTCAGATCATTACGTACCATCGACCTTTGTATTGCTGGATGATGAAAGACTGTAGTCTCCTTTACCACACTCAGTGGTGGCAGACACTTGGAACGTGTAACGAGTACCTGGATATAGGTTTGGTACCTCTATCGTTGTGGATGATACAGACAGGCTATCGCTGTGTACAAAACTTCTGTTGTAGTCTTTCTGTCCTTCAAACGAAATCTAATGAGAAACAAGGCCGGGGCATGTATCAGCTGAACGGTTATCACAGTCAGTCCCAAATAACAGTGAAAGTCATTTTATAATATTAGAATTAGAAGCGTTTTTTGATATAATTTTCAGCTATATGAATGAATCTTCTTCTTCTTTTTTTTTCTTTTTTTTTTTTTAATCTAAATTTTCCATCTTTGCTTTTATGCTTATACCGTATAGCTCTTTATTGCTTCTGTTACTGATTCAGGTTTTTGCCATTTTAACRAAACTTCTCTTTTCTTTGTTGTCTGCACCATAAGATCTACGGGAGAACCTGGAACTGATGAAAAAACAGCAACTCATAGGAAACGTGTACTTTGTACAACTACTCAATCTACAAAAACGGCTAACTGAAGTAAAATTGTTGGAAAGCATGCACTGCAATATAGGTTTTTGGTCGTAGGATAGAAGAACTGAGACAGGTAGAGAAAGAGATAAAGGAAAAGCTTGAGGAGAATATCAATATAGAGAAAATGAAGGGCTTGTGGTTGGTTTGGTTTGGTTTAGTACGTGCTGTCATAAGTTTGAAGGAGATGGTTAATATTGTATGCGATGAGGATAGATGGAGGAGGGATAATTGTCATTTCACACCACTATATGTAATGAGCTCATAATAATAGGTAATAATGAAAAAAAAAAAATCGGTTGCAACATATTCAGAACACAAAAAAATACCAGAGGTTTCTAGGATAACGACACTAGCAGGTCCCGGTCCAGCTTTTGTGTATCCTCTTATTGATATGAGATACTCAGCACAAACCAGTAGATCATGCAAATAAAGACTACAACATGAGGAGTTCATCAGCTTCACATTAACTGCAGCATTAATAGACCTCCTAGCTTTCTGTCTTCTCGATAAGGTCTGGTTAACTTCATAAGCAATAACAGGACCATTAGACTTGCTTCGTGGAATTTCGTCCCAGGACACTTTGAAGGTCGTTTTATTAGCTTCGCTGAATGTTAAGTTAGACGGTGAGACACTGGGAGCTGGAGATGACAAAATAAGAGAAATTTATTGAGGTGAAAACACAAGATCACTGTGCAACTCATCGACAAAGTTCGCAATACACTAATAAGGTTTGACATAAGACTTACATAACGTAAATTGATATCACAACAGTTTTTGTGGGTGTGTCTGGTCCTTCCTTGTTGGTGACTCCCCTCACACGAAACTTGTACGTCACTCCTCCCCACACAGGAATCGTTACCGTCAGTAGGCTCCTATCAACAGTTTCCCCTTTCAAAGTGGGATCTACATCATGGTTGTATGACACTTTGTAATTGCGAATATTATCACCACAAACTGCAGGTTTACTCCAGGTTAGCGTTACTTGTGGAACTGAAGGACCATTGGGTGAAATGATGCTTGCCTTAAGAATGACAGGTGCAGATGGAGCTGATGAAGAGAAAAAAAATTATACCCCAACCGCAAACACATATTTGAAAGTTGACACAAAAAAACACCTGACCCGTTTCTAAGAACACRATGCATTTATTTAATGACAAACGTGTAGTACCCTGGATTCCCGGATGAAGCTATAACGTAATCATACAATCGAGTCTGATCGTATGTGTGCGAATGTGAGCATTAAAGGTTGTTATGCAACCAAATATTGGACTCTTGTGTCCCTTTAGATAGCAGATCTAACAAAACGGAGACCTGTTTTGTTTAGAACCAAACACGTTTGATTTCATGCATCTTTAAAAAAGATAGATGAATCACTAGTGCTTGCCAAAGACAGCCGTAATAAAACCAAACACATCATTCATCGTGGAAATATATATATATATTTTTTATGATACGGTGGCAAACCCTGAAAATTGATAAAGCATAGAGTTGCGAGGTAGCATTATCAAATAATTTGAAGTCATGGTGTGCATGGTGATCATCACGCATGCGCCACTGCCTGAACAAGATGGAGAATCAACCGCTCCTCCTTAACTTTCAAAATTTTTCTAAACATCTTTAACTTTACTTAATATGGATTCTAGGTCATCAAATGACGATTCTAATGCTTTAACTGTTGCTGTGTTTAAAAGTATGAGGGAAAAGGAGCTATTACCAAGCATAAAACAAGAAGTTTCACAAGAGTTTAAAACTGAATTTCACACCTTGAAATTGACTATAAAAGACTTAACTGATCGCTACAATCAGCTTGAAAAGTCCAAAAAGTGTATGTCTCAAAGGTTCGATGATTCTATGAAAACTCTTCAGTAAGCGAAGAAGCAGATTTTTGGAACTGGAAACCAAATTCAAACAAAATGAAATGACGATTCAACAACTATAATCTACGACTTCCATGCAAGCGGTTGATGTAGACGAGTTGCATCAATATGGCAGACGTGATTGCCTAAAGTTAGTTGGCATTCCCAAACTACCAAATGACAATCCTAAACATTTATTACTCTTTAATTTATCCATATTTACCCTATGGTATTCTCGCTTGGGGCAGCACTTACAAAACCAAGTTAGCTAGGATTTCTACTATACAAAATAAATGTATTAGATCAATATTTTATGCCAATGGATATGAACATGCAGCACCCTTATATAATATTCAAGGAATTCTGAATTTTGAAAATATATTTCAACTGGACACAGCCCTGCTTGGACACAAGATTGTAAATAATAATTCACAAGTCCCTTAGTGTTTAGAAATACATTAAAGATGGTTARCRAACAACATTCTTATAATACWCGATTTTCRGCACAGGGGAATATTGTTCGTCCAMGCATGTACATCCGAACGAATTATGGCAAATTTACTTTTCAGTTTACAGTTTCAAAAATCTGGGAAGAAATTCCCATTGACATCAAAACCTTAACTKCAATTTCGCAATTCAAAAAAGCCTTTAAAATGTACTTAATACAAAGTCAACAATAATGAAACATTTCCTATATAGTCATTATAATATAGCTCGTACTTTCATCGTATCTATACTATTTAAATATTTTAATTAACCAGTTATGATAATCCTCTTGATCAGCTAAATCGCATACTACACATATTACATAACCCAGGTGGCTGTTGACTCGAAAGTTTAAACTTCTTCAACAGCCATACGCACCTCAAGTTATTTTCGTACTAGATGTAATAATATTCTCTGTAACTTTATAATACTTTATATCTTTATCCTACAAATCTGTAAATAATTTATACTTTTTGTTTATTTGTGTGGGAATAAATTTGAACTTGAACTTGAACTTGAACTTGTTTGAAATATTGTCTCAATCACCAGCAAATTCGATTGCTTTTTATACGTGCTCTTCGTTGAAAACCTTAAAGTCTTATAAAAAGACATCCTGAGAGCTGTGCAGTCTATAAATTTCCCAATAGTTGCTCCCTCGGCATCCTATGATATCTTAATTAAAACAATATAATCCAAGATGGCCGCAGTATCGGTAAAATAAAACAAAAAGCAAAAAACAAACGCATTTTATAATGTAGTCAAGTAAATCCGCGCGATCTGATTGGTTGAAAAGCATGAACCATTTGCCCATGGGTTGCACGCTCACGTCAGCTTTTTTAGCTTCGGCG